CTGTCGTTGTCGATTGATTGGCAGAGCTGTGCGCAAAATGGGATTTTTATATGATGACCTGAGCGCAGTGTTGTTACTTGGATTGCCTGAAGCTAAAGGTGCGCTGAGTATGCAGCTGTTGCTAGTCTTGGCAGATGCTGCAAGTGCCAAGCGTAGAGGTAAAGCAAACAGCGTGTGGCCCGTGGCCCGTGGCGAGCAGTCGTTTAAACTACAGGATAATAACCTAAAGCAAAGGCCAGCGGCGAGAGGTGCAAAGCAAAAGAGAAGAAGCACTGCAAGTAATTGGTGGTGGTGGTGGTGGTTTATTACCAGCAACAGCAGCACACGCGGCATCTCGACAAAGTGCAGCCATGTCCAGAAGTAGCAAAGAGTAGGCGAAGAAACAAGCCAGCGCGCATAAAAAACCAAGCCAAGCCAGCGCACTCAAATGCTCCTCAAATTGCTCCTCAAATTGCTTAATGTAAAAGTCTGCGAAATAGCTTGGAAAAGGGGGGTTGGCGCAATGGTAGCGCGTCCGCCTCCAGAGCGGAAGGTTGTTGGTTCGATCCCTGCACTCCCCATATACACATTTATTCCATAGCTCGCTTTTTTATTCTTCTCTCATTTCGTTTTTCTCTCGGGTTTATTTCAAAGCGACATGTCGGAAATGAGATTGGCTACCTCCTCTACCTGCATCGTGCGCAGCAGCAGCTCCATGCCGTCGGTCCGCCATATCAGATCCAGGCCCTTGAGCATCGCCCACAGGCGGCGCAGGGCACCCACATTTTTGGACAGCTCGGCATGGGCTGCGTGGATGCCATCCTTGCTGTGGCTCTCCTGCCTGGCCTCAATGTCCTTGCGACAGCGGCGGATTTGGCGAATGAGAACCGTCATCGAAGTGAACAGGCAGAACGGCATTACTTGGTCACAGCGGTCCAGCGGAATGTCGCTGTTGCGGTCTATAAATGCAATAATGTCGTGCACGGCTTCAAGGCAGATGCTCCACGACTCATCCACGATGTCGTATGCCAGAATCCCGTCGTTGAGCAGATCGGAAAATGCCGAGGACAGCATCTCGCGTATGGCAGCGTTCTCGATAGAGTCGGCGGCAGCCAGAGCCGACGCCGAGCTGGGCAGAGAATCCGCGTCCTTGCCATTTTCAGCGCCGTGGCCAAAAAACGACGGCCGGTTGGCAAAGTGCAAGATGTGCAATAGGGGCACCGAGTACGCGTACAGGCAAAAGTAGCGGATGCGCATGATAAAGTGGCGGTGCTCAAGGCTGCCAAAGGTCGCAAAGCAGTGCTCGGGCTTCCACAGGTGCTTCATGTCATCAGCTCGCACCAGATTTTCCCGCCAGCTACTCAGCATCCGGTCCAGCTCAACAAAGCGCGGGTACTCGAACAAGCTCGCAAGCCGCGTTGGTCGCTGCATAGGGACAATCGAGGGGACTTGCAAGAACCGGAGCTTGGGCATACACGCGTCAGCGCGAGAGTGCTTCGAAAAGCTAATCTTTGCGTCCCACAGAAACGTGTTTATGCGCGAAGTAAGCGCCGTCAGACTGCATCCCTCTACAAACGTCTGCAGCACGTATCCCGTCTCCAAGACCTTGCTCGCGGGCATGTCTGTCTGGTAGCGCGCAGGCCAGTTGGCAGCCTCCAAGACCGAGATATCGTCCCACGTGTGGTCCGATCTCGGTGCCGAAACGTACAGGCGAGACTCGCTGATGGTCATAGGCCGGTCGCTGAGAAGGCCCAGGTAGCTGTCAATCTCGTACGCAACCCAGAACGTGCGGCGCTTGAGCTCAGTGTTGATCCAGTCGTCCCAGGACATGTCCGCCTTGTCGTTGGCGAGGTCTATAGTGTGCCAGCCAAGCCGAGTGACTAGGCTCGACGCCAGGCACGACAACGAGTTGTAGGACATGAATTTGCACTCGCCCCCCTTAAGCGACGCGAGGAGAACGACTGCGCGCACAAAGTCCAAGCTGGGGCTGTCGAGGCCCAGCAGCAGCTTTTGCTGTACGTCCTCGATCGCCTTGTCGACGTCAACGTATTTCCCGGTATGCTTGGTAATGACTCGCGCCGCAGAGGCTCGCATGGCCTGAATAAGCAGAGGGTCGACCTCGCCGTATACCACCCGCCGCACCAGCGTAGCAGGGTGGAATATTGGACACACGCCGTAAAAGTAGTCCAAGTAGTAGATAATCGTGTCGCGCGTGTCCTGCGGCACCTCGGCTGAGTAAAAGCGCCGCATGATATCTTCTGGCGTGTCGCGCAAGGAGCTAGTCAGCTTTACGCTAGACGTCGAGCTGCTTAGCTGCCCGCGCTCACAAGAACCGGCTGACTGGTCAATAGCGCTTATTGTAGACGACAGGTCATCATCATCGCCTTTGCGAGGCAAAGCTGCTGCTTCTGCGTTGCTGTCAGTCGAAAGCTGCTGAGAGCTCTGCTGAGAGCTCTGCCGAGAAAGATATGCTGCGCTCAGGTTCTCAGCACGCTTGGACTTTGGCTTTGGCTTTGGCTTTGGACCGCGCTTCTTCATTGGCACCCACGTGCACTCGTAATTGAATCTCGCACAGCCGTCGCATCTGGTGCCCTCGCCCTCGCCCTCGCACTTGATCTTTCTGTAGTGGCAGCTCTCGCACGCGCGGGAGCGCCGATGCCGCTGCCACGGGATAAAGTTGCGCTCAGAGTTTGCCAGCAGGTTGGCGACATGCGGCCGCGGCTCCAGAGCACCGAATGCAGATGCGGAGGCGTTCAGCTGTGGCAGCTGGTATGGCCAGTATCGGTTGTCGTACACAGAAAAGGGCTGTTGTTGGCTGCGGACCACCCGAGGTTCGCACGAGTGGTATTCAACGGCACTAGCTGGGTATACTCTTTCGAACAATGGCTGTTGCGCCATGCCGAGCTGCGCATCGAGCGGCTGCGACCGAGGCTGAGAAAGCGAGCGAATGCCAGTAGAGGGCGGCGTTGTATGGAACATTGCTGGCTGGCGCGGAGGCTGCTGCGGATGGTCGCTATCCACCGTCGATACTTTGGCCACTGGCTGGCTTGGCCCTTCGCTGCCTGCGTTCAGCAGCGAGCCGATGCGCAAGAACTGTGACATGTAGTAACTGCGTGTGTATGAGAAAGTAAAAAA